GAGGAAGGAGAAAAGAGAGAAGAGGAACAGGAGAACACAAAGGTTTGAAAGAAGGGACAAATTCTAACACATCTGCCGCCGCCACTCTCTTAGTATTTATAGGTTATGTTCAGTACATAGAGAAAAAGACAGATCTGCCCTTAGTACTTATATGACAAATAAAGTAAATAAAAACTGAAATAACAAACTGACACTACCATGACTGAAACAAATAATTACACATACTGTCCTACAAACACAGTGGGGACCACTGCTGTGGGGCCCACATCAGTGTTCTCTACAAAGAATAAATATATGCATTCTTTTAAATACCAACTAAATGAGTTGTCAATTCAAAACTATTACTGAAACCAACCAGTTAAAATTTTAAAATTATAAACATTGATTCTCCTGCCAAGATCTGTAACTCAAGTTTTGGCTGGGTTATAAAGACAGAAAATGGGATATGTGATGGCAGATATCCTAACAAAATAAGGAGCTGATCGATCCACTTTATTTTGGGCAATGATGTAATCTGTAGTAGTAAAAAGGGATGAGAAATTAAAAAGTGTGAGCGAGCTATATTGTGATGAGTTTACTGGGCTACAAAGTGTAGCAAACATTGTATTTAACTCAAACATTAATAAATGAATTTATTTTGCTGATAAAAAAAGTTAAAATTATAAACTGGACTTTTAGTTTTCTATAAACCCTTCTAAAATCATAGCTCAGCATCAATATGATATATTATAAGTATGTATAAACATCCAGAAAGAGTATGTTTATACTTATGAATAATAAAAAAAGATTTCAGGTCATTGAATCATATCCAAGGATTAAAATATCGACACGATATGCCCGATACAGGGCGTATCGTATCAGTATCCATAAGAACGGATACAAGATACACTACAACTGGTATGATACACGTTCAGTCGTGCGTATCAACACCGTATCCATGTGTATCGGTGTGTACCGCACCGTATTGGCCAGTACAGACCGATACGACTCGATACACGCAGATACATGCGCACATCTATTATCTTGTCTAAAAAGTGATGCTACGAGGATTCGAACTCAAGCCTCAGCGCACACATGCAACTATGCGCTAAGACTCTAAGCCACTATGCTAGCATTCAATTTGTGATACTAATTGAACTAAAATACATTTTATTAACTTTATCATTAATATGAACCTAAACAAATACAAAATACTATATGTTTATGTTCAATAATTCTAACTTAAAATAAATAAATAATATTAAAAATTACTACTTTATAAACATTAATAAATTAAACAATCTACCAAATTTAGGTTTATATCAAAAATTGTTTTTTACTTCCAATAAATTTATACAAATAAAAATATTAATAATAGATAATTATTTTAGTACTTAAATTTCATAAATTTGTACATTATATGTATCTTCAAATTCTATATATTTGTTAATAAATTATTCATTGATATTTTAATTTAGACTAAAAATAACATATTTATTATTTACAAAAATAAAAAAATTGTTTACAAAATATTTAAGGATATAATATTAAATTGAATTTATCAAATCCAATAATTTAAATTTATATAAAAAATGATTTGTTATTTCAGAAAAAAACTATAGGAAATAAAAATGTTAATAATGGAATTGTTACTTTAATAATTAAAAATTATGAATTTCATATAATATGTATCTTAGAAATTTTAATAATTTTGATATACTTTTAGTTAAGATTAAAAGTAAAAATATGATAATAAATATGTACCTTAGAAAAATTATAAATTTCATATGATGGTAATTTTGATATTATCAAACATTTCAAAATTTAATATTTAATTGACCTTTTTGTTAATGTTGAAAAGTAAAAATATAAAATAATTGTTATAGTAATTAAAATATAATAATTGCATATGTTTTGTATCTTGGACTTGTAGAAATTAACATAATAATGGTGTTTTGTGCATGTTTTACTTTGTAAAAACTATATAATATGAGTACTGAACTCTTGATTGTTGGATTATCAACAAAATTGTAAGATATTTATGTATCTTGTTATATTAGTAATATGTTTCTTTATGTATTTATGCTTTATTTGTGGTTATTTTGACGTTTAAAATTAGTGTAATTGATGTATTTACAAAATTTGATGCATTTTCATAACGTATCCATGTATTTTCATATCTTTTGTCCATATCCATGCGTCTCCAAAGCATATCCGTATCCGTATCTCTATCCAAACTGTCCGATATGATACCCGATACCAATACTTTGATCCTTGATCATATCACAATGATCATTAAACCATGTGAGCATAAGTGAAAAAATAAACAAACTTGAAACAAATTATTGGAGAAATTGAATATATTTGATATCCATACCTGTTGGACCCAGGACAAACCAATATCAAACAAGTTCTGCTCCAGTAAAAACTGTCCTACAGCATGAAGAACCTCACTTGCTGTCTCATTAGAGACTTGATCCAGTACCGGACCTGATCTATCCATCAGCTTCACAAGCAAAAGATCATCTCCTGTAGATAGAACTTCAGCATATGCTGAATCAATATCACCTACATTAACTGCATCCATAACATTGCTCCAAGAAGCCCAGATTGGGTCCTGGTCCTGCTCCATAATCTCATTGCCCAAAGCTTCAGCAGTTAATTCAGGAATAGCAACTCTTGCAGCAGCTCGTGATGTTTCATTATCTTCCCCAGCCACTCGAATTGCTTCCAGAGTAGCCTCATCTTTTGATGCTTGCCAGACACTTCTTGCAGAAGGCCCCTCACCAAGCCTAACAGATCCTTGCCCCTTATTCCAAGCTCTTGTGTTGCCAACCTGATCACTGTTATGTTCTTCTCTAGATGACCTATCATCACCACCTAGAGCTCTTCTAGAACTGATATGCCCATTTCCTGAAGAAACATATGCACAAGAATCCCAAGCATCAAACACATCAGATCTCCAAGGTGGATCCCTTCCCCTCACTCCTGAAACACCACAATCAGATGAAAGGTACCTCTCTGCAAATGGAATCCATCCATTGCCACCCCTGCCCAACTTGCTACTAGAGTAATCAGAGAGACCATTATACTTGCCAACCAACCTAGCAGAGGATCCTTCATAACCCACCATAAAAGTACTACCTTTCCTGCCTGATGACACCGTCAGATCCCGTGCCATGTCTTCAACAATTCTCTCAAGACCCCTCACTCTATTCTCTAAAGTAATCATGCTGTCATGGGACCCGCCCATGAAGTCCTGCAATATGGAAATATTTTAGTGAATATTGAAAACCAGTTCAAAAAAGCATTTCTCAAACAGAAGTTACTCAACCAACCTGTAACATGTCCATGAGATGAGTTTGTTGCCTCTCTAGTTGTGTCAACTGTCTTTGGATAGCTAACCAGTTTCCTTTGTTATTTATGAAAGGACCTTCAGAATGGTCATCAGTTCCAGGGGAAGTCAAATGGGCACTGGAATTGTCCTTTTGACTAATGTCAGTACTATCATCAGCATTACAACCTCTTGCTTTCAAGTCTTTTCCCCTCATTACTCTTTGTTCAGTCCATTTATCCCGTGCAGCATCATCAAAGTTTTGTTGTTTATCAGACATACCAACAGTTCCTCTCCCCATGTTTTGGTATTTAACACTGCCAGATCCATGAATATCACCAGAATCAATGTTACCATGGTGATTTGACCTGCCTCTAGAATCTTTATCATTTGGGTCTGATTCTTCCTCATCTTGTGAGTTGGAAGAATTAGGACATTTACGGGGAACAACCACTTCCACAGGCAAATCACCTGAGCCCCTTGCTTCATGTTTCTGGAAGAATTCCGGGTTCAACTCTTTGTCAGTTAATGCAGGTGCTTTCTTCTTCAGTATTCCAACTGTTTTGTCAGAGATACTACCCTTGACTTTGGAAAGAGAATCAAAAGAAGGGGAAGAGCAATTAGAAGTCTCCCTTGATGAAGGTTCCACCATTCTCTCACCAGGATTTGTCTTGTCTGCCAACTCAACTAGTTCTGAACTTTTGCCATCTGGAGTATTAACAAAATAAATTAATAAATCAAAGAGAGAAAGATGGAAAGTGAAAGGAGAAAAATTGAAGAAGTTTCTTTGAGAAGACAATTTAATTTCTATATTTACCATGAGATCTAGCTTTCAGTTCGTCCTGAATTCCATCACCTCCTTTTCCTGCAATCTTCTTCCACAGCTGCAGTGCCTCTGTCATGCTATCTCTAACAGGTTTCACCTGAAGACCAAACTAACAATTGTAATTTTGTTTCAAAACTGGGTAAATGAGATATTCTACATATATTGCCTAACCAGGAATTTTTAATTTTATATCTACTCCAGTTAATTAACATTCACTGGAAGTTAAGGGGGACTCATTATGCTTAAGATACTGTGTTTTATAAACTATCACTTGCTTATCAGAAAATATAAATTACTAACATAAAGATGGAAAGAAGCCATTCTCCCTGTATATAATAGCTATTACGTAGCTGTAAGCAAGGATATTTTTTCGGTCAAGATTGATGTAATCAATTGACTTTAATCATCTTCCTTCAGGTTGATCAGTGTACATTTTTCAACCATCCAAATAAGTAAATTTTGTTTTATAAACTATCACTTGCTTATCAGAAAATATAGATTACTAACATAAAGATGGAAAGAAGCCATTCTCCTTGTATCTGATAGCTATTACTTGTAGCTGTAAGCAAGGATACTTTTTTGGCCAAGATTGACATAATCAGTTGACTTTAATCATCTTCCTTCAGGTTGATCAGTGTACATTTTTCAACAATCCAAATAACTGAATAAGTAAATTGGATTTGAACATTAAGAAAAACAAGCCTGACCAATTTTTCCTCAAGAGATTACTTTCTTAGGAGCCATCAAATGTTGAGTCTATATGTTAGCACCTATGACTAAGAGCTTTAGCCCATCTTCCAATCCAAACAACACTAAGAGAAGAGTTTATCTCCCCAGTCCATGTGAACTATCCTAGTCATAGTTGTCAAGGTGCCTAGGCAATACGAATTTTATAAAACAAAGAACTAAAATTTGGCTAGGTCCCTAGTTTTATATACCATTCAGCATGCACAAACTATTAATTGAAAGAATATCAACTCTCGTTATTAATACATTAAATTTCCTTTGAAAACATGGCAAATCATCATATCTAAAAGATAAAAGTATAACAAATATATTATATTCAGTATTTTCAAAAATAATATTAATATAATAAGTATTTAATAGAAGAAATTCATATCAATTAACAACTAAAGAAGGCTCTAAATAAAAATTTAAAATAGAAAGTAAAAGAGGAAAAGAACAAGGGTGGAGCTACTGTTTTATTTGATTTGAGAGAGAGAGAGAGAACAAAAAAAAGAGTCCTCTTTATATTTCTATTATTTTCTTCTTTTTCTCTTCTCAAAACCTTTATTTATTTTTTATAAGTAAGAGGAATTTCAATAGTATTGGAAACTACATATACAAATTTACATTCTATTTTACCTCTTCTCAGAACCTTTGATCTTTTAAAATCAATAGTAAAACATTAATCCATTCTATTATATATATGAAATGTATTAGCACACATATTAGTAAGATTTAGTAATATGAATGATATTCTAATAAGGTACCCACCTTGTCATTTTTGTCACCTAGGTGGACGCCTAATCACCTAAACAGGCGCTTTGTCACTATGAGTCAAGACATTTACACTAGGTTCTGGGGCGGACCTGTTGTTGTATTCTTTCTTTCTTTTTCACATCTTGGCAACTACTAATATCCTGATGTGCGCACTGGGTATCCTCATCCATTCTATTTAAAAATATTAAAATGTAAAGTTTTACCATAAAAAATGAAAAAAAAAAGGGCTGAATGCAGCCACTAAAGGAGGTCGTCCAATTCTGTAGGTTGATTACTTTTGATTGATAAGACTGAAGATGAGTTAAATGCAGAGCTAGAACAATTGAGAGGTGCTTTGGAATCAAAAGGTTTCAAGACAAGTCAGATAAGAGTCTAAGACAAAATACATTTCTTGCAATTTTGATAAAAACATTAGTAATAGTTGTAGTGCAAATGTGCAATAAAGATTGATGATCAGTAGATACCCCAAACAACTAATAGTACCTTGGATCAATCATCTACAATGAAGAAGAAACTAAAGAGTATGCTACCCATAAAATTATAGCATTATAGTTGAAGCAAGAGGTGGTGCATTCTGTGTGCTGTATGACCAACAGGTACCAATGAAATTAAGCATAAAACTCTATAAACAGTTTAAGACCAGCATTGCTATAATGGGACAGAGTGTTGGACAATTAAGAAACAACATGTTCAGAAAATGAGTTTAGCTGAAATGAGGATGCTGAGATGGACAATTGGCAAGATTACAAGGCACAGAATCAGAAATGAGCACACTAGAGAGGTCTTAAGAGTAGACACAATTAGTGGCAAGCCGACAGTACAAGGGAAAGTTGACTGAGATGATTTGGTCATGTATATAGATGACCAGTGACTATACTAGTGAGGAGAGAATTCATACAATTATAAGGCTCTATAACAGAAAATGTTAAAACAATGATTTAAAGGAATATAATTTGACAAATAACATGACTCTTGATAGAGCAAAATGGTAGAACAGGATCATATAGCCCACCCCAAATAGTTGGGATTAAGGCTGAATTAACTTGAGTTGAGTTGATTAAGCTAAATACATTTTTATAATAAGATCACCAGAACTTATAAGCTAAGTACATTTTTATAAGTGTAATATATCTTAATAGTGGAAATGTTGAACAAAACAGAAGTGTTTCAATTGCGTAATGTAATCATCATAGCTAATCAAGTACAATAGCTTGATTAGAGTACCTTGTCAAAGCGACATGCTTCAAGTAATGCTATTGTAGAAGTGGTCCCGTCTGCAACCAATTGGCTTGAGTGAGATGCCAAGGCAGTCAATGTATCAGCTCCAGCCTTACGTGTTGCCCAGTCTGCACTCTCAAGGCACTCATTAATGCTTTGAAGCATTACTGGCAAGCTTTGAGGTGCGATTGCTCCCACCTGCAAAACATATTAAAGGATATCAGAAATGGGCACTCTGTTTCCTTGATATGCTTTAGCCATCTCATTGTGCATTTCATTGGATTTAATCATTCCTCTGTTATATAATTGCAGTTACCACTGGAAGTACCTTAGATTTAACTGTTATCAACCACCCTTTGGTGCATACAAGATAATACAAGCCATATGTATATATAAAAATCGTTATATCGGCAAAAACAAAATGGAAAAAAAAAATACAGAAAAGTAATCAATCATGGAGGGTACAGAGACTTCTACTTGGTTTATCCAAATACATCTCACCAGTGATTCTCTTATAACAGGAATCTGCTTGCAAGTCTTGTTGTCTTCTACCTATAATGTCTAAGTTTATTCGATCAAGTTCTAGTCTTGTGAAAACAAGAATTTGCTTAGCAGATGCTAAAAAGGTCAAAGTCAATTCACCAAACAATATTCTACTATCAATCTTAGAAACTGGATCACCCAAAAATGAGAATTGATGATTCACGATACTTAATAACTAACATATTTCAACCAAACCTGAGATATACTTGCCACAACAGGCAAGAGCGCGGCCTTAGCGAGGAAGTTCTGACTGTTGAGATACTTGCAGATCCTGGGGCAGAGCTTCTGGAATGCGCCAATAGGTGGGTCTCCAGCACACTCCACCATCCTGGCCATACACATTGCTGACCCAGCCTGGAGCGTCTTGTTCTGCTCGCCCATTGCTTCAAACAAAGGCTTAACGAACAATGACACGACTGGCCCAAGATTCCCACTATCACCATCGCCTCGAAGGTATTGCGACGATAGCACCCCGATGGCATCACGACAAGAGTCCCGAACGGCAGAATCGGAGTCTTTGAGCCTCTTAACGATGTGGGCAATGATTTTAGTGAGATGGGTCGATGCGGACTCGGTGTGAGAAGTGCAGAGGAAAGCCAGAAGGCGTAGTGCTTCCCTCTTGACAGCGGATTTGGGATCATTAGAAGCATCGTAAAGGCAATTGAGGAGCATTGAGACGCCATCAGGAGATAGGGTTTGGATAATCTTTTCAAGTTCTTCTACAGCTAACTGTTGGGTGTCTCGGTCGGAGAGCTTGGAGAGAGAGTTGAGAATTCGCTGCTTGAGTTCAATCATGGCGAAATGGGAGGAAAGAGAGGAGGGAGATCTCGAAGTTGATGAAGGTGATGATGCAGATGTTGTCGAGAGGTTTGGAGGTTTAGAGGGTTTTAACTGTTTGGAAGCCTGTGAGCTCATGTTTGCAGCTTGAGAGAGCGAAGGAGAACAAATATGGTTTCTGCGTTTATGTTGGCACTAGCCACTAGGGAGAGAGAGCAAACGTCGGGGTTTATGCTGCTGAGAGTAGAGAGGAAGAAGGGGAGGTAGTGTAGAATGTAGATTATTGAAAGTTACTGAGGGGAAAGAACATGAAAGACAATGAAAGCAACTACGAGATTTGACCATCCCAGCGAGAGAGGAAGAAGGTGCAGAAGAAGAGAAGAACAACTAAGGTTTTAGAAGCTAAACCCATTTTCAAATGTTTGATGTTTGATTAGAGCTGCAATTAAGAGTAACAGAGACTACTTGTCTATTAGGCAATTAGGCTTGAGACTGTAGAAGAAAAACGGCTCGGGTCCCAAACAGTCAAAGAGATCAATTCACACCAGTAAACAGTGAGTGGGGTTATATATCTCTCTCCTTTCTCTCTAATGAGCAGAGGGTTGAGTCTATTGAAGCAAGACGAATCCCGCCCAGTCAAATGAACGCCACAGTTTGCTGATGTAACATTCATTTGGTTTATCCATAAAAAAAACATTTGGTTTATTCAACAAAAAATAATATTTTTTATGATTTTTTTTTTAATTTTTAAAGTATGATCTTGTGATCCTTTGTTGTCTCTATTTGTGGTGTCTTTTTTTGGTTTATATGGTGTCTGGTATCCGAGGGGATCCGAGGGAAATAGTTAGTATGCTTTTGGTTGGAGTTGATTTATCACAATCATTTTTTTTCAATAATAAATGGTTTTTATCAAATGTTTCAGAGAATTGTACCGATCATTGATCTGAAAAATGGGGTGGTTCATGAGTCAAAAGGTTAAATTGGGTTCGAGCCAGAGGTCAAATCGTAAAATTAATGTATTAAAAATATATAATTATATTTTTATAACATATATTTTAGTTTCAAATTTTATATTAAAATTTATATTTGAAGCAAAAAAAAAGTGTTTTTTAGCAAAAATAATGGGGCAAGGCACTTTTTTGCTCATTGGGTGTAACATATAGACCTTGAAAAATTGCCCAAATAAAAAAAAAAATCACCTCAATTGAACATCTAAACGCAAAATTATAACTTTTAGAAGTTTGTATTTATGTGGCCAATTTTCTAAAATTGGGATCGGGTCATCAGTTTTTTGGTTCAACTGTTTCGGTCACTGATTTTGGTTGGTTTTTTATCCAATGTGACCCAGGGCTATGGTTCAACTGATCCAGTTGGCCGATCCGAAATGGAATTCTAGACACTGGGTTTTATGGTTTGGGGAATAATTGATTTTTCTAAACAATGTGTTTGATAGAAATAATACTGGTGAGAGACGACCTAAAGTAAAAATACTCAATACAATATTATTGGAGAATTCAGTTGATGTATCATAATTTTATTGGTAAGACCTATTCCTCAAAATCAATTAGGCTGTTAATGGGGGAGTCTTGAACAGATCTCCTCACACCAATCTCACAATGTGTTTCAGCCACATATCAGGAATATCTCCAGTACTTTTTTTCGTTATTCATGGGGAGATGTCCAATACACGGTGGGATGAGGCTATGAAATTGGAGTGGGATTCCCCCACAGAGTGTGCCCCACAGCTCATCTCAATTGTCTATTAGAAACATTTTCCCACAAGTACAGGAGATGTTCCCAATGCTTACTGAGATGAATATAAGTACAAACTGCAATCAATTATTAATAGAAACAAAATCATAGACCCAAAACTGTTCTAATTATTAATCAAGATAATCTGATCTAATTCGATTAGACCCAATTATACTGATATGTATTATTTTTTTCTTGAAGCCATACTGATATGTATAATTATCTTTGTTAATAACTTAAAACTTCATTTTTAATAATATAAGCTTAATAAAAATGACTGTAAAATGGTAAATTATTTATTTTTAACCAAAATTCTCTTATATTTTCTATCAAATTTATCTTTTCAGATATAAAACTTAAAAATTACAAGAAAAATTAGGAAACCTTTATAAATTATTAATTCAACAATTAGTCAGGGTTTTAGTCGGTTTCAAACAGTAAGTACCACTCCTGACCGAATTATACTGATATGCATTCTATTTATATAAAATTTATTTTTTCTTTTTAATTATGTATACACACATTTGTAAATGAAATTTATACATTTTTTTAATAAATTCTATGAGTTCGGATCTGCTCCTCACAGAGAGCACCTTACTACACGTTTTGGTCGTGCATCTGGAACATCACTGTACAAGCAAGTTTTTAGTAATAGGGAGATGTTCCATATGTATGTCTGCACCATACTGTAAGGTCGGTGTGAGACGCTATCTGTGAGGAGCAGATTCGAACTCCAATTCTACTTCTAGGACTATAAAATTTAAAAAAAAAATGATTATGCAAAAATATTTTCATAAATTTTTTCAAACTCAATGAACCCACCCAAGCCTGGCCAAAATCGTATGGGGTTAAGCCTAGCTAGATTGATAAATTTGAATTTGACCTTGGGAGGAACCAAGCTCAAGCCCAAGGTTTGCACCTTTAGGGTTGGGCTTGTATTTACCTTCAACTAGATTCAATCCGACCCGCCTGAATTGCACCCCTACCTCAACCCGGCTGATGGTAGGAATTAATCTCAAGTCTCCTCTACGATCAGCTGAGATCATACCAAGTGAGTCAATTGGCACCCCCACTTTTGCTTTTTATTAATGCAAATAAACGAAATTAAGCAAAGGGGCTAAGATTATGGATGTCAACACTCAACAAGTTGGGTTCTACATGGGCTCGACTCAATCCAAGCCTAATAGAAGACAATTCAACCCAAAAGGCCAAAAAAAAATAATAATAATAATAATAAAAAACTTGACCCATCTAAATGAATTGGAAGCTAAATACAATTTTGGTGGAAAAATTTTGGCTGTTGGTCTGTTACCTCTTTTGTTAACAGGACTCTTTCTGGCTTGTCACGTTAGTTTATATGAACTTCATGTAACAATGACAGTGCTGAAGGCATCATTGTATAGAAGAAAATACCAATGTAGGCATTTGGCACCAGAGCATTTCACAAGCATTCCATTTTTGCTGATATGTCATTCATGCAACACCAGCAATTAAATTGTATTCGGCAATTTGTTTTTCAAAAAAAAAAAACATTTTTGCAATGATTAGTTCCGGGATTTGAGAAATGAGGGGTTTTTTGACTTGTTAAATTGATGATTCTTGAATCGCCTTGGTGATCTTGAATCATTAAGGTGATATGACACATTAAAATTTGAAAAAGTTTACTTCTTTTCTGATATATCATACAGTTGTTCTTTTAAGTATATTATAATAATAAGCCAAATCACTTTAAATGCCCAATCAACTTGCATCTCTACCAAATATGACTTTTTTTGGTGTTTTTCAAAAAGAAAAATAGTGAAATGAAACGCTTTTAAATTGGGGAACACTTGTGAAATGCTATGGTGCCAAACACCCACAATATAGACTATTGAATGTGGTAGGCTAGCAGCCAAAGTTTTCTCTACCATATCATTCCCAATTTTAACAACCAACTGTTTAGTCTAATTAATAAATGTGGAGGTGCAATGCATGTGGCAATTTCATATAAAAATAATAATTTTTGTATCCTTAGGATATGGTTGATTTAATTTTCATTGATAAAAAATATTTATTATTTATTATATTTATTTTTATTTAATATTATAAATATATAAGTGTAGGATTGTGTGCAAATTTTTGTATTTTCTATATTTTTTATTTATTGAGTTTTTATTATATAATTATAGCATCATTTGTTAACCCATTTGACTTGAAAAAATGAGCTCATTTTTTAGTGGCTTTAAATGATATATTTTATTTTCATAGATAAATATAAAAGTAATTCTTATTTATCATACTTATATTGGTTTAATATGATGAATACATAATATTAACAATATACCCACATGTTTTTTTCGCAAAATAATGTATTTTTTAATATTTTTAGTGCTTCCATATTTTTTAAAAAAATTCTATTATTTAATTATGACTTAACTCATTTGACCGAAAAGTTTGAACAATTGACCCACCATTTGAATAGAAAAATGGTTTGATTTCTTGTTTGGTATTAAATTTTGTATTTTGTTTTCATCATCAATAAAAATACACATAATTTATCATACTTATTTTTCTTTAATATGATAAATAAATACTATGATAGATGTGCCTAAACTTTTTCACAAAAACTTTATATTTTTGTAATTTTATATTTCATTTATTTTTTAAAATTTTTATTATGTTACTATGACACCATGAGTTGAATCATTTGACCCAAATGATTTAACTACTTACTTGCTACTGAGACAAAACAAGTTTTCCTTTTCATGTCAATTTTAAACACATGATTTTGTATTGTTAAAATTATAGGATACAATTTAATGAATAAAATTTATTTTTTATTGGTGAAAAAACAAAAATACTTTAAAGAAAGGATCTAGTGATAGAAAATGGGAGTTAGGACTTAAAGAGAGGAATTGAATGAAGTGAAAAGTAATAGATCAATTACGCTTTTTGTCATCATAGTTAGAGAGTGATTAAATTCAAAATTGAGGGTGTTTTAGTTATAAAGAGTTCAAAAGGCTCATTTGTTTAACATATCTTAGATATAGGATTTAATGAAAGGAATGAGAATTAATACCTTAATTGAAGGATTTAATGAGATCAAATAGAATGAACTTAAAAATAATAGTTTAAATTACATTTTTGCCCTCATAATAATCAGGGACCAAATTCAAAAATAGGGATATTTTAGTTAGGGCTGTTCATAAGAAGACCCAACCCGACCAACCTGGACCGACCCAACCCGAGTCGGCCGGGTTTTCTTCATCACCGGTCGGTTTTCGGTTTTCATAGGTGAAAACCGAAATCGACCCGACCCGAACCGAACCGACTTAGTAGTTAGTTCCTAGTTAGTAGTTACAACCTACTTACTTACACTATATATCTCTTATCTCTATAGTGTAAGTGGACACCAGTTGGCAAATAGTACTCTCAAACTCTACTCCCTCTACAACTAGATCCATGGATGGGCCACAAAACATTAAGGAAATGTTGGTTTCCTTTGGGAATGTAGAGCCAGAAATGAACACTTGAACAACAACTAAGCCACCACTAAGTAGAGTCGAAACCGACCCAAACCGACTCAAACTGATCAAGTCGGTTTTGCTTAACATAGGGTCGGTTTCGGTTTCAATTTCAGGTAACCCGACCAGGTTGGGTTGGTTGGAAAAACATCAGTAAACCGACCCAACCCGACCCATGAACAACCCTAATTTTAGTCAAAAAATTCAGAATCTAGATATCATTCCCATTTTTTAGAGGGTGTTTGGTTCCATTTACAGTTATTCAATAAACATTTTGTACTTGTGTGATTGCAAAACCAAGAAACACATTTAATGAGGGCGTTTATGACACATAGGCACCATTAGGCACCACATAAGCAAAATGCCAATAAACACCTACCCATTTCAGGAAGCTTCAAACGAGAGAGGCGCACAGAAACCGAAATTTGCTTTTGCAAACTTCGATACACAAATGCAATTAATGAGGCATTTGCTAACAGGGTGCCTATGTGGCACTGCCATTAAACGTTTACTCAATAAATGTTTGCAGGACCAAACATATACTTAATAGTATATAAGATTAAGTCTAATGATTTGAGAAAACTTGACGAGACTAAGGGCTTATTCGTTTGCTCTAATGCCTCACATCTAAAAGTGCATTAATTACATTAAGAGGTATATTGGTATTGGTGAACTTTCTTTCCTCTGAACTCTGAATGCAAAGAATGTTCTTCTGAATTATGAATTATGAATTTTGAAAATTGTCAAATGTCCATTTTAACCCCATATATGAGAATTTTTGTTTGTCTATGTAATTCAATAAAAAATAATATTAAAAATTATTATAATGACCAATAATTAATTAATAACAATTAGTAATTATTGTTAATTAATAATTAATTAAAATTTAATTTATAACTAATACTAATTATTGAGTAATTAATTAAAAATTAAAAAATAATATTAATTAATTACTAATTACAATACTAATTAATAAATTAATTGTTAATAATTAATTAATAGTAATTGGTAATAATAATAATTTAATTATTAATGTTTTTGATTCAATAAAGAAATAATATTAAAAATTGTTATAATGATTAATAATTAATTAGTATTCAATAACAATGACTATAATAATTAATACTTAATTATAATAATTATCATTTAATAATTCATAATAATTATTAATTATTAAATAATGAAAATTAATATAATAATTAATAATTAAATAACAACTAATACTAATTATTATAATAATTAATTAAAAATTACTAATTATGAATTAATAATTATTATTAGTTAGTTATTAATAATTAATTATAATAGTAAGCGATTATTAATTATTATTTAATAATAGTAATAAATTAATAACTAGTAATGATGAACTTTTATAATAATAAGTATTAATTAGTTATTAATTAACTTTTAGTAATAATAATAATAATAATAATAATAATAATAATAATAATAATAATAATAATAATAATAATAATAATAATAATAATWATTATTATTATTATTATTATTATTATTATTATTATTGTTGTTGTTGTTATTATTATTATTGCATATAATGCCCTTGAGCTATAAGGAAGGAGAAGTGTTTTATGTTTTGGGGGTATTATTGGAAAACAAAAAAAAGGTAAGATTCCTCTTTAAGAGATAAAAGAGGAGATGAACAGGTCCTAAGCCAATATACACCACATCAGCCTATTTTGTGGGATCCACATTTATGGAGCTGATTGGTGTATCATGAATGGTAGGTCTGTAATAAGACTTGGGATTCAATTTGGATCCAGTCACACCCAAGCCCAATCCTATTATGGAAAGCCCAATCCAAACTGAAATGTTATTGTTAACTGATCGGGTTTGTTCATTTGGCCGTGGTCATCTTATTTCAACTGATCTGAATCTACTTAGTTGTTGACAAAATCGAACGCTGATAATTAGGGTTGTTTGGTGTGAATTTAAGGTCATTTACCAAGTTTTCTTGATGAGAGAACGGAATTTAATAACAAGTTTGGGACTTAAAATCGCATTTTTAAAGAGTTATTCTTCATTGGTTTTTAGCATTGAACAGTTTCTGATTTTTTTTTTTTTTGAAAAAGAGTTGGGAGTTCGTTTCTTGATATTTGGCGTTTAGTTCAGTAATGCTAGCTTGAGACTTGTTTCCTTTCGTTACTTTTGTTGTTTATTCTTTGTTTGGATTTGCTATTTTGATTGTGAGTCCAGATCCGCTCTTCACACCGCCCTCATAGAATGTTCCTAACTGCACGTCCGCAACATCATTTATGATTCATGGGGAGATGTTCCAATACACAGTGGGATGTGATAGTGAGGTCGGTGGGACTGGGGTGGATTCGAGCCAAGTCAAGCTGAATAGTACGAGGCTCGAGTTCGGTTTGAGACTGTTCTACAAGGTTCGAGCTCAAGTTCAGTTCGAGCTAGAACGTTGAGCTTGTGTTTGGCTCGAGTAAAAAATGCATAAGCTTGAACTCGGCTTGGCTCGAGCTGGATTTTGAGAAAAAATATTTTATAAAAACAAAAAATTATATATATAAATATTTTTATTTGATATTTAAAAATTAAGAATTATAATAATTAATAATTATAATATGTTTATTATATATATATATATATTCGAGCCGGCTTGCGAGCCTCATGAGCTGAGCTCTAGTAGGCTCGAGCTTGGTTCGTTTCATAATTAAGCCAGTAAATTGGGCTCGAAGCTCGGTAGAAATCGAGTTGAGCCAAGCTCAAGCAGCTTGTGAAAAGCTTGGCTCGTTGCCACCCCTAGGTGGGAGAAGCAAATTCCAATTCTTTGATTGCCAAATGTCATATTAGTCTTACTTTTCTAGTTATTATTGCCCCATACTAAATGCCTTTATGGACTTGGGATAGAAACCATCCTATTTCCTATATTTATTCCTTCACCCAACTCTGATTTCTTCTTCTTCAATCTTATGGATAGAAAACTAGACTTAGGTCCCGTTTGCTTTTCGGTAAGTTACTTACCCGGGTAAATGCACTTACTTGGGTTACCCAGGTAAGTGCATTTACCCATATTCTTTTATTTCCTAAGTAGTTAAGGTAATGACCATTTTAGCCATAAAAATTCATTATTAAAAAGGGCATTTTTATCCCATTTAAGTGTTAGCAACTTTCTCCCTTGGTGGGAAAGTTATTTACCCACCTAGGAGATGGGTATCACTTACTAGGGAAAGTTATTTATCCCATTGACCAACTTTCCCCCTCTCAAAATCCAAAAAAAGAACACTCCCTTAATGTTTCATTGTTGACTCTTAATGGAAACACTGTTGTTCAATGGTTTATTTAATTATTTATATTTATTATGTCATTTTTCAGCAGTTGTTGCCAAATTCTCTCCTTGTTGTTTCAAACCCTTTGGTTGTTCTTAAAGCCTTGTTGGGTTCGCTTTTTCTATTTGTATAATCTTCCTCCGAGTTAACCCTGATGGGTATAAAAAAACTAGAATCTGCAAATTGAGAAATCTGATTTTTCTTTCCTAATTTAATGCTCCTTAGGCGTTTTTTTTTTTAATTTAACTCCTTTAGATCATTTACAAAATTTAATGCTTCGATTTGTTTGTTTCACAAATATATTTATGCTTAGTTTCTCATGTATTTTACTGGAAGGTTTATAGCTCTTCCCAGTTTCTATTTTTATGTGTTGTTGAGTTCTTAGAGGTGGGAATCAGAGCTTTTCCTTATTCTTATGATTCTTTCCTGGATCTTGACAAAATAGGCATAGCATTCTATACTTCTCCTTTAACCTATTGACGATTTTATTCAGAATTTCAGATACCATTTCTATCAAAGTTGAATTAAGTGAGTAGTGATCTATGTGCAGTGAACTTGCAAATTTAGAACTTCTTTACTACAAGAAAAATCTTCTCAGACCTCTCATCTAGACTCCAAAGAATCATGGTTCAGACACTTTGGAGCTAGCAAGGGTGGTGGAGCTCTGTTAAGAGAAGGTCAATTGGGACAACCAGTTCCCTGATGACTAGGGAACTGGACTCAGTGAAACAGACACTGACATCTTCCAGAAGTATTGTCCCTGTTTCAGTTCCCTGTGGTGTTGCTATCCCCCCACCCCCCAATAAAAAAAAAGCCAAGAAGATTCATTGACTGAAGCAACCACTAGGGGCAGTAACAATATCAATTATCAACAGGGTTAATCATAGAATACCTGGAAATATACAGAAAAGTAGGACTCACAACAGAGAAAAACCTGATAAAAAGAGATCTTACATTGTTGAAGTTGTGGATATAAAATGTAAAAATCCTGACAAAGCACGGTCCAGTCCAGTCCTATCTCCTATGGCCAATCAGCTGAAGAAGCTCAGCTTCTTGAAGCTCTCTAAGACCATTGCCTAAACCTGCAACTTCTATACATCAGTTTTCAGGTTTTTATAACTGAACCCAGGAATCCCATTTGGCCGATTGGTATCTGCAACTTCCACCATAGAGCAGATGCTTGGTAGGAACGTGCTGCTTACACTCTTCTTCTTTCTGGAAGTCATGATCAGGAAGCTGAACTTTGGTCTGGAACTGGTACCAGTGGAGCCTCTATCTGTCATCCGTATCTGAGGTTTCTTCTTAGGGCTTCTACGGTGGTCCAGCTCAAGTCTGCTGAAGTACTCAATTTCCTGCAACACCAAGGATCCAACAGTTCCACGGGCGCCTACCTCAACTGGAGCAGTTGCTGCCATTTTCTGAGGGAGATTGGTCGTTATGGTGCAGGCTTTATACATCGTGATTGGCTTTGTGCGGACAATGTGGGAGGCTTATTGTGGATGAAGAGTGGTAGTTTGGGGCCGGTGTTGTCTTGGTGGGGGGACTATATTCCCTTTTGAGTTTGGCTTTATGCAGCTTTACCTCATGTGCTTTATCCAAATTCCAAAGCGGACAGCATGGAATTATTGTATCTTTGGAGAGTGTGGTCATCATATTCTTGTGTTTGCAATCAAGCCAACTTAAACCGACCATGTCGGTTTCGATTTAATCTTTTAGTAACCCGACTTGGTCGGGTTGGTTGAAAAAAAAACTAGTAAATCAACCCAATCCGATCCATGAACAGCCTTACAACCATGTATCGATAATTTAATTCTTGGTGGTGTTTGGCTTGTTTAGCTTCTTCATTGTGATGTGACGGTGTGCAATATATAGATACATGATATCAGATGCTCTAGCCATGGAACTTACATCTTATCATCATAAGATCAGATGGTGACTGGTTATTGGCCTGATCTTCATTGAAGCTTTCATTTCCTTTCTGTCTTTAATGGCAAGGAGGATAGGGGGGAAGGTAGGGAGGGTGGGGTTCTTGAATGCTTTTGTAGGTGGTGGTGTTCCTTACTTTTTGCACTTTTTTCTCTGCTTTTAAGTGGGGTCATGGAAAAGTTATGATTCAGATTCCACTACTTAACTGTTGTGGTTGCAATTGATGATGCTCCATAAGCCAGATTGATTGTTTTTGTGAGTGGGTCAAAAAGTCCAATCAGTGATTATGCTCACCGATCAAATTTTTATTTGGTCTTTGTTGAAAGATACATGAGATTGTATTATTAAAATTGGCTCAATCAATGGTGTCTTGGATGGGATAATTGAAGGACTCTTTCGATGTGGTCCAATTCCTGTTGGAGAACACTCTTCAATTCTTTGATTCCTTCTCTATCTCTCACCTGTCAACAGGTATAGTGGCAATGTAACTCACACCCTAACTCAATATTTTCCCAACTAGAGTTTCTTTTATTTCTTTGAGAAGCTGGGTGGATTTCCCTCCGGAATTTGTTAATTTGTTGGACTTAATCACTGGTTTACCATGCTTGATTTAGTTAAATGGAATCAGAATTAACGGAAAGGTAATTGTAAAAAATGAGAAAATTTATGATATAGAAAAGATATGATATGGAAAGAGTTTTGACCAATCAAAATCCATTCATGAATTTTGATAAATAACACCTTATCCGCTAACATGCTTGTGATTTTAGTTTATTGATTAGTTATTTTTCTGACATCATATCTTTTCCATATCATAATCGAACCCCAAAAAAAGTGGTATGGGGATGAAAAGGTGACACCCAATAAAATCAAACAGGCGATTGGATCCCGCAACTTTAGCCCTTCAGCCTAGTGGAGGGTCTACGCTAACAAAAGAAATTGCAAGCATCGCCACCATTGGGAATTCCACACCTGAATTGGGATTTTCTGCTCATAGAATGCACCTCACAGCCCCATCCCACCATGTATTGGGAATTCCCATGAATAACAATATAAAGTACAGGAGATGTTTCCGATGTGTAGTTGGGAGGCGTTGTGAAGTTGGTGTGAGGAACCCTCTATGAGGAACAGATCCGGACTCACCACACTGACATGGGGACGCTTTAACCAATCTGGTTATTTTATTAATTGGAGCGGTGCTAATTCCAGAATTAGGATTTAATCCTTACACTGTTCTCACAAGACTTGCAACGTGCATTTTTTATGGTATTGAATCATTTGCCTTTGTATCCCCATAGAGACTGTATTTCATTTTTTCTTGGCATAATATAACACTTTTTTTTTTTCCAGAAACATTCTAATTACTCCATTTGTAACATGCATTGAAACATCTCCACATGAATGAAAAATATGAGTACGGAGATGTTCCAAATGCATGACTCTAAGGAGGTGTTTGGCAAGTCTTTTTAAGAAGATCTTCCAAAAAGACCGCTTGATTGCAATTTTTTTTCATAGATTTTCTTAAAATCAAAAAGACCCAAAGACCAGTTGGAAACACATATAGTACAACAAATAAGTGTTGAGCATTTAAATGGAAATACACATTGGAAATGTCATGTGTGGGACCCACTAATGCATACAAATGTGTATTTAGCACTTATGGGCCCCACCTACACATTGGCTTATGCAAATGTGCGGGAGGTTCATTCGTTTAGGAGGCCTATGTGTTCAGATTCCTTGGTGGTGGAATGTGAGAGTGAAACAAGGGGTTTTTTTCAAATGAAGAAAGATCTCATAAGCTCAAAAAGACCAAAGCTTTTGGATTTTGTATAATTTTCAGCTTTTTCGAGCTTTTTAGAGGGCTTATCTTTTTGGCTTTCTATCTTGTGGTTGCCAAATGTAAAAAGCTCAGTACAAGGTCTTCCGAGCTTTGAAAAGCCTGAAAGACCTCGTAAAAAGACTTACCAAACACCCTCTAAGTGTTGTGAGAACAAATTTTGTGAGGACTAAATCCGCTCTCTAATTGCCATCGTAGTTTTGCAATGCATTGCTTTGAAGTGTTGCAAATGCCAATTGGTGTAGATGGTGTTTGATACTGAAGTTGTTTCTCCAAGGCGTTTTTGTTATGTTAGTGCCATGTAAGCATTTTGTTCTCGTCCTCACTTTTTCTTGTTTTGTTGTACATTTAAGTAAATCTGAATGCCTTGGGTTCTATGAGAGCCAATTTTGGAGAAAACGTCATTTTAACGTTTCATGGAAACAATTTTCTTTTTTTCTAATAGGTCCAAATAACAATATAAAATATGCATAAAACTCAAAATTATTATAGCAAAATCATAAATAAGAAAAAGACAATGACACCAAACACCGCCCTATTTGGTAATCTTGGTTAAATATAGTATGTATGATATTGATATATAATAGGGTAAATTATTGAAACCCCCTGTAATTTTTGACAATTACGGTTTAGTACCTTGCTTTATGTTAATAGCACTATCCTCTCCTAAACTTTTTAACACTGTTGCATCTACACCCCTATCTTGAGTTGATAAAAGCAAGCAAAATTACCAAAATACCCAATATTTATCATTTGAATGGTAAATTAGCTTCTAAAATTGCCCTTTCCTATTACATTGACCATAAAATTCATAAAATTTGTATTTTTTCTACAATTTTTGTATAGTTTGTTGAATCATATTATTTTGATTTTTTTATCATTTTCTTTTTTTTTTTGTAATTTCTGCTTTTTTACTATATATATATAATCATTTTATTTATTTTTTCCGCAATTCTAATTTTTTGGTTGAAATATTGACATTTAAAAATGTTGAGTTGATGACATCAACAATTTCGATTAACATTTTAATGTTGAGTTAATGGAGGGGGTGTAAATACAACAATGTCAGAAAGTTCAAGAGAGGATTAGTGCTATGAACATAAAGTAGGGTACTGAACTACAATTGTCAAAAAGCATAGGGGAGGACTGGGAGGTTTCAACAATTTATCATATATAATATTTTAGGGTAAATTACAGATAAATACCCTCTACTTTGAGGATAGTGATAGATAGGTACTCTGAACTTTTAATTGTATCACTTGAGTGCCTTGAACTTTCAAAATTGGACACTTTGGTCCATCTGTTAAACATTACATAATGCTAAAAATACCCCTCTCGTGTATTTTCGAGATCATTCTCAAGTAACCAAACATCTCCCCAAGATGACGTTCTCACATGGACAACAAATAACATATTCAACTTTTCTGATGACAGAATTCTTTGGTGATGATTTTACTCCGTAGAATGATCTCAAAAATACACAAGAAGGGTTTTTTTGACATTATATAATGTTTAACCGATAAAATATTAACAGATAGACCCAAGTGTCTATTTTTGAGAGTTCAAGGTATTCAAGTGTTGCAATTGAAAGTTTAGGGTACCTATTTGTCACTACCCCCAAAGTACAGGGCACCTATGTGTAATTTACCCAATATTTTATAAGGCAACATGTATATATGGCACAATAAATTTTTAATTTTTTATTATAAAGTTAAATTAAAAATTTTATTTTAAATATATATAAAGAGTATTAATTTATATAGGCTGGCTTGGATGACCAACTGTCCTCCACATGTATCATCAGGTAAGCCCGACTCGGGCAGACCTTAACGTCGTTAATACTCCCCAACTTGACTTAACCCTCATGCTGCATGGTTTGGGTTTTGACAATCATAAAGACCTCCCTTGAGTTTTCACTTTCATAAAAACCTCCCCTATAGTTTATAAAAAAATTAGAGCTGTAAATTGGGCCATGCCAGGCCAACATAGCATGGCTTTGTGGGTGGCCCATGTTGTGCTTTCTATCTTTGGAGTACTTTAGAGGTCTGGCTTGGCACAACCCTTGGCATGGGTCCAGGTGGGCTTGGACGTGTTGTGCCATGCTGTGGGCCGGGCTGGTCCGCGTGTTAGGCTGCGGACTAGGCCAAGCCATGAAAAGAATATTTAAAAAAGTTAAAAAAATAAAGAAAATTTTAAAATAAATTAACATAAAAGATAAAAAATTGAAAAAAAATCTTAAAATTTTATTTTATATGAATTTTGATGTATACAATTGTTTATATATGCAATAATAATGAAGTTAAAAGTACAATACAATTGGAACAAAATAGTATAATAAAATTGAAAATAAAAAATTATTTTATATAAGCAGCACGACCTGTTTTATAGCTCTACGAAAAACTTGCAATTACGTCCCTTCCATCTTTGATTTAGTAATGAAGACTTTAGAGTTAAGAAATTACCCTTACAAAATCCTTCAATATAATTTAAAATGCCAAATCTGCTATTCTAAACTTCACTAGACTTAACATTTTTATAAAGTGAAATTACTTATTCTTTTTAAATATGATATTTTTTAATTAAAAGTGAAAAATTCTTTTGAGGATATTTTAGTAACTTTTTCTGTAGCTTGATAGATGTAAGGGTAAAATAGATATTTTCAAAAAACCAATGCACCAACATTTTCTATCCATGACAATGAAAAAAGGGAGGTAATTGCAAGTTTATAATTCCACTTTATTGGTCAGTTGTTTTACATCTATCATATATCTTTTAATA